AACAAATAGGGTTCAGAAATAAAACCACGTAACTGAAACTTTTATAAAACATAACTTTTATTAATATATTAATAAAACATAAATTATATAAAATAGATTTTGGTAAGTCAAAACATAAGTAAAATACTTTTTGGTAACTCAAGGTATAATATAACTCACCTTAAATTAATTCATTTATTCTTCCTTTCCACCACTCAAGATTCTCACTCGTGCCGTCCTCTTTCTAGTCTCTATTTATTTGTTTTTCCGTTGCCTTAACATACCAATCTTCTCTATTTATAGGACAAAAATTCTTGGGTAACAAGCTACGGAGAGTTCCGTAAATTGACGTGTGTAAGTCTCTGTCCACCCTTATCTCTTTATTTATAATCTTGTTTGATTAAAACAGGCTATTTTAGCCACAACAAACAAAACATCACATCCAACCCATAATCATTACACTCTTCTCTCACAAAAAAAAGCCAAAAAGTCAAAAAGCCAAAAAGCCCTTCCCAAACCAAACTTTTTAGCCCAGGCTAAAATAGCCAAAAAAGCCAAAAAGCCAAAAAGTCAACCCACTTCCCAAACGGAGGCTCAATAGGTCTGACAACATCTCTTGAATTCGATTAAGAATCGGAGAAAAACGCAGTCTTATTTTTAGGCCTCATATAAGAATATGTTATTTTAATAATTTTTTAATTTTTTATAAAAAGACATGTAAAAAAATAAAAATAAATAATGTGACAATTTATAATATTTTTTAACTAAAATTAAAAGTCATCAAATGAAACTTTAATAATATTATACAATGTTCGAGTACCGAATAATTTCTCCCTTACAAATGATCTTATGGGTCGGGTCAGAACTTACCCGAATATTTCTGACAGCCTGCTAGCTGACCCTACGCTACTACTTAGCTTAGCATAACTAAATGGATTTGGATCGATAGATCACGTGACCCCTCCTAGTTCTCATTCAAACAAAAATTCCTACTTAAGGTTGGTTTGGCATGTTCTAAAAAAGTGTACTTTTTGACTTATTAACTTATATAAGTTGGGTTTGGATTGGGTTTGATGTGATGTGTTAGAGAGATGATGTGATTTAAATAAGATGATGTGACTTAAATAGAATAATGACTTTTTGACTTTTTGTATTATTTAATAGATCCCAAACTTAACCTTAGTATAAAAAATTTTCTAATTAAATATAATTAAAAATCATTAAAAGAAAAAAAATAATAATTATTATAAAAAAAAAAAAATGGGAATATAGGAAGGCAGGTTCCCACTTTCCAGGCTCACATGCAGCCATTCCCCTCTCTCTTTCTCTCTCTAAAAACCTCCTCCTTTCTCTCTCCACACTCCTTCTCATTCAACAATTCCAACTTTGTGTGTTGTGTTAGAAAAAGGTAAAATGGAACCTCTACTCTTCTTCCTTCAACTTCAACCTTACTCTCAAATTAACCCTTCCCATTATTTTCTCTCTCTCTCTTCCTTTTGCACTCTAGAACTGGGTAATCTCTCTCTCTCTCTCTTTAGAACTATGAATACTTGTTGAGTTGTCTTGAGTTCCTTTATCATGTGATTCTACTTTTGTGTTATTCCTTTTTAACATAGACAAATTTGCGGTTTTCTTGGCTGCTGGGTTTTCCTGTATGCTTTTTCTTTGTTTATTTCTTTTCTTTCATTTGATTCTGTAACTTTCAATCTCTTTAATTGGACTTTTCTTTTCATTTCATTTCATTTCTTTTCTTTTCTTTTTTATATAAAATATATTTTTGAACCCCCACATACATGTTCTTGGTTTTGTCTGATCTGGATCGGATCACAAGAATCTATTTGTTCTTTTTCTATTTGCAGAGGTGGTGGGGTTCTCTGACTCAGTCCTTTTTGGCAGCAATCTTGGTCCTCTTTGAGGGAGGGTTTCACAGGAGCAAAAGAAAGGAGAAAAAGAAGAGGTGAGATTTCTTGACAAATTGTGAATTGGGTCTGGTTGTTTTGGTAAATTGAATTAGAAGTTGGTGTTGGTTGAAATCTACTAATTGGTCTTATTGGGATTTGAATTATTGGCAGTGTTCATTCATCATACTCTATTGATTTGGAATTAGGGTTTACTTGATTGGTCTCTGGTAGTTTTACTTTGGATGATTTGAATTGAGTTTTGATTGTGTGTACTGGTTTTGGATTGGCCTTGCATACTACTGAGGTATGGCAAGCATTGATGTGTCCAAGTATGTCCATAGTCCCGTGCACAGAGCTGTAGCCATGAAAGACTATGCTTGTCTGAGGAAGATACTTTCGGGCCTCCCTCGGTTCTGTGACCCAGCTGAAATTCGCTCTGAGTCGGCTTCACTGGCTGAGGAACAGAAGGCTGATGCCATCTCTGCTGTCGTTGATAGGCGGGATGTCCCTAACCGGGACACCCCCCTTCACTTGGCTGTCAAACTCGGTGACGAGACTTCAACCGAGATGCTTATGATTGCTGGTGCAGATTGGAGCTTGCAAAATGAGCAGGGTTGGAGTGCACTCCAGGAAGCAATATGTAATAGAGAGGAAGGGATTGCCAGAGTTATAGTTAGGCATTACCAGCCATTGGCTTGGGCGAAATGGTGTAGAAGGTTGCCACGGTTGATTGAAACAATGAAGAGAATGAGAGATTTCTACATGGAAATTACATTCAATTTTGAGAGCTCTGTTATTCCTTTCATATCGAGGATTGCACCTTCTGATACTTATAAAATTTGGAAAAGAGGTGCCAATTTGAGGGCGGATATGACTTTGGCTGGTTTTGATGGGTTCAGAATACAGCGCTCTGATCAGACCGTTCTTTTTCTTGGTGATGGGTCCGAGGATGGGAAGGTTCATGCTGGTTCACTTTGCATGATCTCGCACAAAGATAAGGAAGTGATGAACACTCTGGATGGTGCTGGTGCTCCAGCGAGCGAGGCAGAGGTGCAGCAAGAAGTTGCAGCGATGTCTCAGACTAATATAATTAGGCCTGGGATTGATGTAACTGAAGCGGTTCTTTTGCCACAGCTGACATGGAGACGACAGGAGAAAACAGAAATGGTGGGTCCTTGGAAGGCTAAAGTATACGATATGCACAATGTGGTTGTGAGCATCAAATCCAGAAGGGTCCCAGGGGCTATGACAGATGATGAGTTATTCTCATCTTCCAATGAAAATGACACAGAAAGTGATGGCCTTGATAATCTTCTTTCAGAGGAGGAAAGAAAGCAACTTGAAGTTGCACTCAAGTTCAATTCTTCAAATTTAAGCAATGAGAATGGTGATGTGATTATTGAACACCGCCATAGTTGTTACGACCAAAGGGAGACACCTACTGAGGACATGGGTAGTTCTAGAAATGGAGAGAGTTGTTATGTGCAAAGAGAGATTCCCATTGAGGACATGGGTAGTTGTAGAAATGGAGAGACTAAGCAGGAAAAGAAAGGATGGTTTGGTGGCTGGAGAAAACGTGATACTAAGCATGAAGGGCAGAAGTTGAATACAGCACCAAGAAGTTCACTTTGTGTAGAAGAGAAGGTTAGTGATCTCCTTGGGGATTCTCCATCACAAAGTCAGATCAAACCGGGGAGGCATTCCATGGAGATTGCTGTGAGGGGGGATGAACAACCTGGAGGAAGGGATGCCAAAGCGTCCTCATCCATGAGTACTGAGAGTGGAACTCGACGCAAGGAAGGAAACCGTGAAAATGAGTATAAGAAAGGCTTAAGGCCTGTCCTCTGGCTTTCCCCAGATTTCCCTTTGCGAACTGAAGAACTCCTTCCATTGCTTGATATTCTAGCAAGCAAAGTTAAAGCCATTCGTCGCTTACGGGAACTACTTACAACAAAACTTCCTATGGGTACCTTTCCAGTCAAGGTGTGTTGCATAAGTAATTTTTATAGTTTAAATTGATTATATGGTCATTTAGTATTATCGCTATGCATGTTTAATTTCTTTAAGTTCTCTTGGCTTAATTCTATGCTTTGCAAAGATGTTTTACAACTACATGATAAGCTGCTTTCCTTACTTTGTATATGTCTTCATGATTTGTTTACGGTGGTTGGATCTTGCCTTTTTAGAGGATTTTGTAGGGAGTGTGGTTGCCGTTTTGAGGTGTATTAGAGATACAGTCCAGTTAAAATTCCAGAAAATAGAATGAGAGAGTTTATAAATGTTTTGGTAGGTAACTAAACCTTTGAACAAGAAATAAGCATTGACTTCTGGTCTACAGTGCTACAAGTCAAAACCTTGACAGAAATGCTGCCAGTGACACTATCTACTACTCAAAATCAGATCTTACTTTCTTTAGAGTACACAAACTATAGACGTATAAAAATTAGAGATGGAAACTTGATCGTCACTTGATAGTTGCAATATAGGAAGCTTCCTTTATATGATGAAAAAATTGAAGAGTTAGAAGGCTTTGATGAACTTTTTCTCGTTTCTCTCACCCTTGATGCCAAATGTTAGATGTGTACTCAATCTTTCCCCTCCCAAACACAAATTAATGTGTATTAATTGGGCGTTGTTTTTTTTCTCACTCTGGCACTGTTGCACATAAACATACTTGCACAAGTACATGCAGTTGTTCTTGCACACCCTCATGCCGTTACCTTGCTTCTCAGATTCAGGACATGGATTTATTCTTCCTATGGGCATTTCCAATCAATTCTGCATCAAAATCATTATTTTCTGATTAATATAATAATTTGTTAAATTTATGTACACACACATATACCTAATCAGTGCATGCATGTATACATGGGTGTTTACTATATAAGAAGTTTGGGACTGTGTATGGGGCGGAGCCTACCTCAGTACCTGTAGGTTAAGGGAAATGGTGGACTCATGTTATGATCGTAGTGCTAGTTTACACCTGAGAGTGACCATGGTCATGGCTACAAGTGCCCCAAGGTAGTGAAGGTTTTATGTTTATGTAAGTATGTGTGTGTAGATAGATAGAAAAGCAGGACACTCAGATATCAAAAAAAAAAAAACTTGGCGTGCTAGTTTGTTTAGTGCCCTAGTCGTTGTCTTTACATAGCTCCAAACAAAGCATGGATCATAAAAAAACAAAAAGAAATTAAATTAAATTAAAGTGATGTTAGCAAACAAAAAGTGGTTGTTGGTGTTCATTTCATGTAATTTTTTTTTTTTTTTCATAAGTTATGATGCTAGTATTAGGTAAGTTAGGCTGTCGCCTAACACACATAATTTAAAAAAAAAAAAAAGCCTCTTAATAACTAAGAACGTTTTCATATTAAGGAAAACCCCCCAATGAAAGCAGGCTCAATATGAAGGAAATCCCACACAAACCTATATTTTTCTACACAATTGTTAGTTTTGTTGACCATGTTATGGATCCAATAGAAATACAAAAATATATACAAAGTCACACCACTCTGAAATAAAAATACTTAACACAGCATGACCCTTTATATATATATAGTTACGTATACATATATATATATATATATACAACACTTAATTATTGAAATAAAAAATACTATATACCTTCAAAAAAAATTACTAAATATTCTACCCATTAACTCACATGAGGTGTGGATCTCATATGGTGTGATTTTCACACCCAAGTAAGTATTATGTAAAATTTTTGATAATTTTTTTTAGAGTCCCTAGTATTGCTTGAAATCGAATTGATCCAGGTATTTAGGAATATTCAAATGAAGGAGAGGAGAGGAGAGGAGAGGCGAAGGGCAGCCACGGCGGAGGGAGACTGGAGAGAGAGGGATGGAAATATGAAGGTCAGGGCTGGCAATGACAGTGAGGGAAGGGTAAGGGAGTGCTATGGAAGGAATGCATTAGGGAAAAATTGACATTTCATTTGTATTTTTGACTGATACATAAATAAACTTGTATACAATTGACTTAAGAAGAAAAAATTTATTTAATAAACTTATATATGATAAGCTTACCATTTCATTTGTATTATAATAATCTCTTAGAATTTAATAGGACTTATTTAGATTTTTTCGCCTAAGTCCCAAATGGTAAGCCATAGTTTTCTGCTTGGTGCTTCTAGGAAATTAACCATGTGGAAATTGCAGTACGCGGAATGTTTTCTATATAATTATTATGCGTGTATGCTATCAGTACAACAATTGCATTTTTGGCAATCAAATTTGACAACTAAAAAAAATGTAGCCATCAAAAGTGATATTTTTGATGACTAAAAAATGTATTAGTCGGCGTTGGTTTATGGTATAACTACTAAATTTTTTTAGTCAATATTACTTATTGGTGAATAAAATAAATAAATTAAGAAAAAAAAAATGCCATAATAGGCTACTAAAATAAAATTTAGTCGCAGTTAGTCTAGATTTTAGGCTATTAAAATTTTTTTTAGTCGTCGTATAATATTTTTTGCCAACAAAAGGAAATTTAGCCGTCAAATAACAGCCATATTTTTATGGTACTCTTTGGCGACTAAACGATTTCATCGGCAAATATTAAGTTTTGGTAACTAAAAAAAAAAATTTGTCGTGGTATATTCATTTTTTCCTATCCAAAAAAAATTAGTCGCCAAATTAATACTTTTGGTGACTAATATTTTAGTCGCAGTTGAATAAGCTTTGGCTACAAAAAGTTTTATTGGTTATATATTAAGATTTGCCGACAAAAATTCAATTTAGCCACTAAAGATGTAAACATTTTAGAGGGAAATCATTTAATATTGGCGCCCACCCCTATTCTCTGTGTCGACAAAACAATTTGTTCTCTCTCTCACACAGATTCTCCTTCACCACCAAATCTCACCCCGCCTCACTTCATAACAGACCACCGTCACTCACCGGACATCTTACATTGCCACCGCCACCGCCACAAACCACCACCTCTACCGTCGCAGATGTTCTCTCTCTCTCTCTCTCTCTCTCTCTCTCTCTCTCTCCTTTCTGACGATTGCTCTAGAGTTTTATATATTTGATTCAGTTTCATTTCGTGTTGATTTCTGAAATGGGTTTAGTTGTTGTGATTTGATTTCTAAAGTTCTATGGGTTTGATGTCCTAAATATGGGTATGATTTTAGTGATTTGATACATATCTTCCTTTTTTTCCTTTCTCTTTCATTAGTTTCAAAGCTTTAATTCATAGATTGTGTATGTATTTCCATGTATGGCTGCTCATTGATTGTGTATGTATTCAAAGCCCTAATCCATTGTTTCAAAGCATTTAGGTGTTTGACAATATAAGAATTTTTTTGCTATGATGCTTTGTGCTCTTCCCCTCTTTTATTGATGTATTTGCATATGTAAAATATGTGTTATCATCAATAAAATAAAACAAAAAAATTGCTGATAAAAAAAAAAGACAATAAGAATTTTTTATTGCACACCTGCACTTTTTTTAAGCTAGCCATTCAATATGTTCTCACTCCCCCATTCTAATTTTTGAGTCATCGGTCATATGTGTGGCAGATACAAAATTTATAAAGCGGAGTGTTTTTTTTATCAGATATTGCTTGGTGTAGGTTGGTGTGGAGTTAATCTTTAGATTCTCTTATTAGGGAGATTAAAAAAAAAAATTTAAAAATGACATGAGTTCTCTTCTGTGAAGCTATTTGATTGGTAGTCCTCTTTGTTGAAGAAAATTGAATTCTACAAGAATGTCTGTATTCTTTATAGGTCATTTTTATATTACGCAAGTCATAAGATCCTATAATGAATAAGGAAATGCACTTTGTATGACATAGTTATATTATAGAAAAATCAAATGAAGATAGAGGAAAAATTTGTTAATGGGATGATTTGTGTGGAATCAACAAGTTTCAATTTTATACTTGACAAAGTCTCTGCTAAATCAATTTAGCTTCTCTTGCATCTACTTTTAAAGCCTTGAAATTCTTTCTCTTGAATAATATTTCCTAGCCTAGCTCATACGAGTTTCAATTTTGATGCTCTGATTGCAATCGTAAAGAATTTATTTGCTTCCCTTTTATGATTCAGAGAATTTTGTGGTACTAAACTAAGTTGAAAAAACACTATGGTTTGAGGCTGGTTTTGGATTCTTCTAACCATTCCAAATAATAGTATAGATGTTTTATATCTCTTATTCCAGAAAGAAGTTACTGATTTGATATAAACTGTGAAATGGTGTTTGCTTAACTTCATCTGTGGATGGAGTATTAGCCAAATGTTGGTTCTTGACTCATTGTTCACTCTCAAATTATTTTAATTTGGTATAAAGTGACTCATTATTTTCTATGTTTAAATTTCTTCACATTTGATTTTTAATCATTTTGAATTGGGTAAATTACAAACACACCCCTTGAAGTTTACTTAAATTATAAATTATCTCTCATGTGGTTTTAGAAATTACATTATGTCCCCTAAAGTTTTTAATTTCATAACAAATAGATCCTTTTATTAATAAATCATCAAGTTAATTAACAGTTTTTAACAAAGTTAAAATTTTATTTCAATTAATAATTCCTATGATTTTATTATTGTATAGGTGAACAGTTAGAAATTTCATTCTTTCAATTAATTCTGTTAAATAAAAAATTCTGACAGGGAGATATTAATATAATTTTCCAAACCACAGGGAACAATTCATATTTTAAACAAATTTCAGGAGATGTATTTATAATTTAACCTTTTTAATTATATGAACTTGGCCTGGTTGTTGGAGTGTTCATTTCATGCAGTGATATATGCTATACTTTTAGAAATTTTATTATACAAAATTATTTATCAGAATCATATGTCCGTAATACATGTATTTTGTTATGTTGCACTTGTGACACATGCAGCCTAATTTATTATATTTTATTTTTAATCTGTAAAAAGAAAAATTTTATTAATAAAAATCGATGTATAAATGATACTACGATAACCATCAATAAAGTGAGATAAGCGCACAAAATATCCAATCAAAACTATATAATCTTAATTAAGTTGATATTAAAA